GTATATATATATATATATATATATATATATATGTATGTTTAATCATAATGTTTTGTCATATTTTAATGTGAAGTTTATATAGTCATCAAAGTGTGTAGCGTGCACTTATAATAAGATAACTTAATAGTTTGAAAATCTAAAATACTGCAGTATTTCATGTTTAATATAAAATTGCTATAATAGTAATTTTAAGGCTTTAAATATGCATTCTCACAAAATTAATAATCTCAAGTGTTTGTGTTATAAATATTTGTTTGGTAGAATCAATCCTAAAAACAAAAATTGGTTTCTTTGGTTTAATTTTTAATCTTTCTCTAGGGGAAATGGGGTATTACAGAAGCAGAACTTGAAGTAGAAAAACAACGTCAGCTAGAGTTTGAAAAAAAGATTATCCCCACAACCAAAGCACAGCTTCGTGTTTTAGCCAATTCATATCAAGTGAGTTGTTAGTTTACAATACTTACATTGTATATCATAATCAAACTATTTTCTTGTTTCCAAAATATATTAATAGTTAAATTACATAAATAAACCAGTCTCCTTGTAGCAGTTTTTTGTAATTTTAAATTTTGTCTAGTTGATAAAAATCCTGTAAGTAAATAGTGTTTCATCAGATATAAAAAAACGTTTGCATTCAATGTAACAACATTTGCATTTTTTGTCAGTTTTTGTTGTCACCAATATTCTAGGCAAACAATACTAAATATGCTACACATCTAGTTCCTGTTAACTCTCTCACTACTCATTATACTTTCCATACTATAACTTTTAGCACAGTATGTGTATCTTCACAAACTGGGCAGAATTTTAGTAAATATTACAAGTATTTTTGCTAAAGATTTGTCTGTGAATATATAAATATATTTTTTTTTACTAGTCCAAACCAAAGTGATTTCTACGTTAAGATTTAAAATGTTCTTCGTCTCAAAAATCTCAATTTTAATTTGAGTAATCTCTAAAACCTCGAAACCCTTTTTTATTTCTAGAATAACTTTAATTTGTAACATGAAACTACATTTGTTTATTCTAAATAGTTTTAAACTCATAATATTATACATCTATTTATACTTAAGTTGTAAATCATTTTGGGGATGTGCAGCTCACATTACACTATCAAATTACATCATGCACAAGCTACTAGCAGGTTTACCTCATGAAAAATTTATT